CTTATACCATATATACTGTATACCAGCAGTTATATTTTCACTCGTATATTATATAATGTGAAAAATAGAAAATGCAATAAAAAAATTCAACAAATATAAAACTGCTAAATCTCTTTAAAAATATTAAAACGTTTCTTTACAATATTATGGATAATAACTTTAAAAGTATACGAAATATTGCTTGAAAACGATGGTCGGGATTAACGCCAATTGTGTCTGTATTTCCAAATCGTAAAAGTCATACAAATAGCTATACTCTCAGCAAACAAATGAATGCATATTCCCGACGGTTTGTGGGGTCGACAGTAAGATAGAGATAGAGAGAGAGACTAACTGACAGCTCGGATGAGGAGAGAGAGAGAGAGAGAGAGAGAGAGTCTGAGATGAGGTCTAAAATATGAGGGCTGGGAGGAGTTGGATGTGATTGCAATGAAAAGTTAAGTGTTCGGGCGGTGCTGTGTATGTAATACTATGTATAGCTGGCTGTTAGCCTTTAAATCTGTATTCATCTGTTAGACGATAAACAAGACTTTTCATCAAACTTTAATGGCTTTGAAAAAAGATCAGCCCTTAAGAGATATACCCATTACCTCGAGATAGAAAAAATAGTAAAGTACTGGTGCTCTCATTTAATGAGAAAATAATACAATTTCTACTCTCAGTACTGATTATAGCGTTATTGTAATAATAAGTCAAATACTACTAAACAAAAAACAAAAAACAATTGTTTACACAGTTTTAGGCAAATATAATACACATTCTCTGTGTTTGTATTGTTTTACAACATTACTATACTTTCATTCATTGATAATAATAATTACTATATATTTTTCGCTGACATACCGTACGCTCCCGTAGAGTACTATTATATACCCGGTATATTGAGCTCAAGTTCAGTCAAGTCGTGATAATTATGTGTTTTAACTATTTTTAATCCATATTTTGTTAATGCCTATTGTTTTGAATGAAAAGTGCATTGTGTGCCAAAATGCGGCACAAATTCATTGTGTATTTCCAAAAACACAATTATGTTTAGTGTTATGCGAGGGAGCGATGCCTTAATTGATTAAAAATTAATTTTTCATCACTGCCTCACATTTTTTGTTAATGACAACTAAAAACCCATAATTTAGTAACAGTAGTATAAACGGTTTGCTTAATGGATATCAAAAATATTATATTAAATGCATTGATAGTGAGATGAATATTATGGATGTATGGCATAGCAATTATTTCCTTAATAATAGCTTTTGATTAATTGGTGTCAAAAATCGAGAGATTGTATTCAACAACAAAAAAACTATAGTAATTAGTATTTAATGTGAGATAATTGTTAGTTTAAGCGATAAATTAATTATTAATATGCATATTCACTAGGAGTACCATTTATATTATATTACATTCAAGAGTATATTGTATTGTTTTCTATGATAAGCATAGGTCACCACACCTTCAAAGTCAAGGGTATGTGCTATTGAATAGGATATTAAAATTGTATTCAAATTAGCCCTTAATTTTTTATATGGTATCTGTGATCTCAAATATTTGTATACAATATAACAAAGAATATTCTCATTCAATATAACAAAAATCTAGTTTTTATATTGATTTTATGGGATAAATCAAATTGAGATTATTGTATGCATTTAGTATATGCCTCAAGAGTTTATTACAATAATATTTACGCAAATAATTTACATTTAATTACTTATAAACAAAACTGGATAAGTTTTGTACACAAACAGTATATTTAATATGCAGTTATAAATAATTAATTCAAGTTTTTCGCTCAAAATAGCAAACATTTTGTATAAATAGGGTCTGTGTTCAAGAGTTGGGTCCTATGAATAGGGCTACTCATAGAGTGTGCAATAAATCACTTTCAATGCAATTAATTGTTTTCATATTCAACGCAATGGTTATGAATATATACATAACAAACAACACTTTATTACTATTAGCCAAACATATGAATTGCTTTATGAATTGGTTTGTGTTTTATTCAGTTGTGTTTGTCATAACTTTAATTTCGTGCACTTTATATAACAAATATACTTTGTTTGGGAGGGGACAGGGAGATGGAAAAGTTTATGACAATATTGGAGTGTGTGTATAAAAATACTGTACAATAAACTATAAACGATTCACAACTACTGATAAAGAATGTGAGCAAATATATGACAATTTTTTATATACACACCAATTGAGACAGAAATGTTAATAAATATAATGTAGTATTTTGGCTGATTCTCGTGTATGGCATATACACCACAAACCATATTCTGGTTACTCGTGTGCTTACTCTCCCCCACAGTATTACAGTATAAATAAATAGCAACAAAAACACAAATTTTTCATTTATTCAAACGTATCAATCTCTTTATTTGTGTATATTATGCGATATTTTTATAAATATATTTTTTAGTCAATTTTTTCATCATATGCAATATTGCTTTTAAGGCATTTATTTATACAAAAAGCATACATTATACATACATTACTTACTATATTTATATTTGAGAGAGAGAGAGAGAGAGAGACTCAGAGAAGATGGTAAAAAATGATGATTCAAATAAAGATATGCAAAAAGAGATAACTATTAGATTTATGTGAATAGGATTTATTGTGTACAATGTATATGAGACTCATATTATGAGTATATATTGCCATACATTTCTTTGTCTATCTCTTTACCATTAAATATAAAGGAAGAGAAAAAATATTCAAACATTTGTATCGAGACTTTTGAACGCATTTTGCACTTTAAAAATCAAAACAAACCCAAAATCGGAGGGGAAGTGGAGATCGAAAAAAGTGGAGAACAGAGGATACGGGAGGAGAGGGATCTAAAGCCATAGATAAAAAGTAATCTAAAGCACGGGTAGACAAGTAGTGTAGTGGTGGTGGTGGAGATCATAGCAATTACTGCGTTTGGGATTTAAGTGTGTAGGCGCTACGGCTATACCGAGGGATAGCTATTATATAACTTACAAACTATGCCATAAAATATATGGTCCGCACCTTCCCTTTCGCACTAGTATGCTGTGTGTATTCACGGCCCTAGTGTTTCACTGGTGTGGCCACTCCTACCCGACACACAACTGATTCATCAAGATTTACGAGAGAGAGAGAGAGAGAGAGAGAGAGAGAGAGAAAGAGAGAGAGAGAGAGTTTAATTCTTAAATGCCGTTACATTAGGGGTATTTTGTGCGCTGGCAGTAGTAGTCATTGAATTGAATGCCATCATAATATTTCTTCGTGCAGTTGAGCCCATACTATGTCTGTGTGTATGTGTCTTAGCACTGGTATCATAGCCATCGCCATAAAACTACCAGTGCCTTTAGTCTTAAACCCTAAGCTCATGGTGTCTATGAGTCTGTGGTGTTTGTATTTAGACGCGCTGTAGAGATGTATACTTCACTGTAGTATGTGTTGCTATGCAGTGAAGTTGACACGCATTTTACACATAACTGTAAAAATTGAAATAAAAAAATATTTTTTCATTCATAATAAATAAATATTAAATAATTTTTTTCACCGCATATTTCCGGCTATATTTAGCTGTAGATTTTAATAGATATTTCAGGGGTTTTCATTCACTACATATAAGCTAAAAAATATTTACAATGCTAAGTATGGTAGAAAAATATTTTTATTGTGGTCAGTTACTATTTTTCATTAGACTTTTTAGGTTTGAATTTTAACATTTATATTTTATTTGTTGCCACAAAATATCAAAACTGAATAAAATTCATATTATGTCCCAAAAATGGACTATCATTTCAAAAATGAATCCAATTTTCTTCGCAACAAATAATTTTATTATTGAAAGAAATCATTTGTATTACAGTTTTGTATATCTCTGTATTAATACATAATTTGCGGTCAATTTTGAGGTCAAACCCCTTAATGATTGTTACCATTAGACGGCTTCCAGTGATGGGCTAATCAATTGTGATATCTCTCTGAGTATTTAATTGAAATATTATATCAATGATTGATGTAATAAATGCACTCGACTTTCATTAGGAAAACTGCAAAAACTTACGGAAATTTGCCATAAATTTCTCTAAACTGCTATTTATTTCCCTAATCTCCGGGTAGTCTGAGACTTAGCGCCGAGAAATGGGAGAAACAAAAACTTCACCGAAAATTTCTTAGCTCTATATCATTGAGATATTGATCTGTTTTTTCCAACTCCTGAACCCCCCGTAACACCCCTTTCCACACAATCTCTGTATACTGAGTAAAGCCATCGACTTTTCTCAGGGCTCCGGGAGTTCACTCTCTTTCTCTATCTCCATCTCCCATAACATAACA